TTTTTTTTTTTGGGGGGGGGGGGGTGGTGGTGACACTGTGGAGTTGTGGATTAAATACTTGATAAATAGTAACTTCTTCGTTAAAGGGAGTCCTAAATAGTAGATGCTGAAGATGATCCTGCTGAGAAACAGACTGATTGAGCTTGGAGATACGCTTCATTTGCGTTACTGCTGATTGTGCTGAGAGCCGGAGGGTGTGATTGATTGGTGTTATAGGGCTGAGCGTGCTGAGATCCAAGAGAAAATGCTTGATTGTGTTAAGGCTGATTGTGTTAAGGCTGATTGTGTGAAGGCTGATTGTGTGAAGGCTGATTTGTGTGAAGGCTGATTGTGTGATTGTGTTAAGGCTGATTCGGTGATTGTGTTCAGGCTGATGGTGTGATTATGTAAAAGGCTTTTTGCGTGATTGCGTTAAGGCTGATTCTGGTGAGAACCAGAATCAGAGTGTTTATAGAAAGCATAAAGGGGTGAAGCTAAAAGGGTTTAAATTCAAAGTAAACAATGAATTCAATAAATATTAAGGGTTAGGCCTACATGACTTTTAAACGACCCCACCCCATTTCCCACCACAAACCCAAATGAATTCAATAAATATTAAGGGTTAGGCCTACATGACTTTTAAATGACCCCCCACCCCATTTCCCACCACAAACCCCAATGAATTCATTTATTAATCAAAGATGTTTCTACAAAGAAAACAAAAAATGTAAATAAAAAAAATTATTTGATTGCATCCCATTGTTAATAATTATTCTTATAATGTTTAGGTTTTTGGGTGAGGAGAAAAAGGAACGTTTCTCGGGGTTTGGGGACGGGGAGAGAGAGAGAGAGAGAGAGAGAGAGAGAGAGAGAGAGAGAGAGAGAGAGAGAGAGAGAGAGAGAGAGAGAGAGAGAGAGAGAGAGAGAGAGAGAGAGAGAGAGAGAGAGAGAAAAAAAAAAAAAAAAGATATACACACACACTCCACACGAGAGCAGGAGGAGAGGAGAGAGAGAGAGAGAGAGAGAGAGAGAGAGAGAGAGAGAGAGAGAGAGAGAGAGAGAGGGTGAGAGAGAGGGAGAGAGAGAGAATGAGAGAGAGTGATAGAGAGAGAGAGAGAAAACATGACAAATATTAAATAATTCTTTTTCTTTTTTTTTCTTTTTTTTGTATTTTAACATAAAATTAAAAAGGAAATACATATATAATTCATTTTAAACCTATAATTTAAAAACGAGAGAGAAAAAAACTCATCTCGCATTAAAAAAAAAAAAATTTAAAAAAAGCTGCTATTGTACCCATAGTATTATAGAAGAAGTAAATGGAACTAAAGAGATGCTGTGTATATCCAAAGATACAATCCACATTGAAACTGAAATAAGTTTTCACTCACTACGAAAAAGAGCAATGATATCGTGTCATTAAAACCTAGTTCGATAACGAAAGTTTCCATTGCTGAACTGAACACTAGTATTCATTTTTACTCACAATTCTTTGAAAGAGTCACCGTCACTAGTGAATCACAAGCTTAATTAAGAATTAAGAAATTGAAAACATATTATAGTGTTCATAGAATTGTCTTTGTACAAAAGAATGCGAAAACAATTGTTCACTTTTCGAAATGTCAACTAAATTACAACAAATGAATTGTTTCTACTTTATAAAAAAAGTAAATAATGTTGAGCCCGGATATTTTATTTAGGGTATAAATAATGAAACTGAACGGAATCCTCGGAAGAGCCACGGCGAATTATTATTATGACCTACTTACATACGTTTCTGTGGGTGTTCCATGTACGACTCTATTAATAGTATAAACAAAAAAAAAAAAAAACAAGGAAAGTCCCATCAACTCTGCGCATGCTCAACAATTTAAAAAAAAAACAAAAAAAAACGCTTTTTGCAGAGTTAATTTAGGCAGATTATTAACATTTTTGTAAATCGATTATTCAAGGAAAAGTTAGTACTTTAAATGTTAATTATTCCACTACCTAGTTGGGGAGAGGTTTCCCCTAATCTAGAAATAACAACAAGCCTCTAGCCCCACGCTTCCTAAGAGAATTCCTAGAATTGGCTTTCGATTCATAGAACTTAGAAGGCGTAGTATTGAAACGAGAACAGCCTCATTCGTCGCAAAGTAACTAGAGCGTTAAAACGTGTCTGTATACAAGGATATAAAAGTTTTCATCTATCAATTTGAGTCTACAATTCGAGGTGAGCAAGTGATTGATACTGTCCACTGATCATTAATATAACATTGACAGACACTGAGACTCTTTAGCAGTTCTAGTTTTGTGTATCAAAAATCAAGTATGCCAATCGGTACTAGTAGTAGTACTAGTTACCAGGAGTAAAGACACATCACTTTGATTTCGTTTACAACTAGTTAGTATAAACTTAAAATACTTTATTCTCTTAAGTTAAAGTGCTTTCTATTATTACGTATTATTACTTATTATAACTATAACTCTAATTCTAGGACTAGCTTGGGCAGCCTTAGATTATTTTTTTTACATTATTACTATACTATGAGTATGTAAATGTAAAATGTTATTAAATAAAATTAATTAAAATATTACGGCTACGGTCCAGTAGACCAATAATAATAATTCTTGACTTATATCTTATTTATTTATTTAAGGCATGTTACCATTCTCGGGCCAGGAAATTTTAAAATATTTAATTTTATTTGATGATATATTATAATGTGTTTTTAATTACCAAAACTGTCACTAAAGCCTACTGTTAATGTAAAAGTGAAAGAAAAAGTTATTTTTGTGTGTTGTTTTTTTAACGACAAAACGCAACCCACACTGTAGACTGTAGGCCAACTACTATTAGACTGTAATACATTTAAATAAGTGAGAATCAAGGGTGAACTTAGTTACATAAGTTACATTGACATTTAATAATGAATTGAATTCAATGATCAATGATAATCTGGTGTTTGCAGATATGATAATGATAATGACATTAATGATATACAATACAATTTGTCATTCATTTACACACTTGATATTTCACATACTTAACATACTGATGCACTGTAGTATTAAATATTTAAAATAAAACACACAAATTACATTTGAAGGCTGTACCGTACCAAATTTTAAAAAAATATATTCCTCTGAAACTTAAAAAAAATGTAATATTGGCCTATCTGAATCTGATAATTTTATTTCAAGTTAACAGCTTAAGATATCTACAATATTGTTATTCATATTGTAGGCTATCATTTAATAGTAGTGTCTGTTTCCAAAATTTTTACAGTCCATTTATTAGGATTTGGTCCAATCTCACTCACCCTTAAGCCTTAAGCAGGCCTTGAAAAAAACAGGCCTAAAGAAATTATAGGTCTCATTACTCTATGTTTGAACTTGTTGGTCATTAATTTAAGCCCTAATAACAGATTATGAGTTCAAAGCCCTGTTTAAGACTACCATGTGAACCTTGTTGTAAAATGTATATGGTTTAAATTGAAACACCATATTTCAGATTATTAGTTGATATCCCATATAACAGGTACATGGCTTTAATTGGCCATTTTTTTAAATAGTAAAAGAAACAAATATCAACGACTTATCAGAATACAAAAAAATAATTTTGAGTTACTTAATTAAGCTTTATACCCAAGCCTAACTCCTCAGCTGAATAGCATTTTGCTTATTAAACATAGTACCCATATCCAGGTCAAGCAACAGGAACAGATTTTAAGTTGTTTAAGAGGAAATCCACAACCCAATTTATTATGTGAAATAGAAAGACTTCAATGGATGCTTAGAAGTGCTCTTAGTCATACTTATTCTAGTGGTCACCTGGGGGTCAATAATTCCCTGGTGCTTAGTACTTAGTTGATTAATTTGTGTAGTGAGAAACCATTTAAAAAGCTTTTCTATCACATGAAAAATGCAACTTTTATTTAGTTTAACGAATCAGAATAAGCTGCTCCGGACTTAAAGCAGTAATATCTCATTTTAGGACTTTCGCTTTGTTATGACTAAAGCCTATGAAATATATGAACTTAGCATAGCATATATTAATGGCCCCTATAGCATATGGTAACAGTTTTTTCAACACCTAAAAAATGTTGAATCCATTTTAATTTTATTATATTATTTTTTTCCCCCTTGGTTCCTGTGAGCTTGAATGAATGACCAATGAATGTTTTTTTTTTAAATTTATTTATTTTAGCCCCCCAGGCTATTAAATATGTGAGAATCCCTGAACTCACCCAACCCTTTTCTCTGCCTCATCAGGAAAAGGGAAAAGCTATTATTTACTAGTACTTTCCCAGTGTTTCCTCATAATTATTTTTGGACATTTCCTTGAAGTCCTAACCTTTAGTTTATAATTAGAAAGTATGAAACCATTGGGATCCACCAGCACATCCTAGTTTGTCTGTGCTGTCTGGTTTATGAACCTTTGACTTGGCTATATGGTGCTTGTGGGGACAACCCCCCCCCCCCCCCCCCCCCCCCCCCCGTGTACCGGTACTGATTTCCTGGCTGTTGTGTACTTGTGACCTGGCTTTTGTGTACTTGTGACCTGGCTGTTGTTGTTACAACTGTGGTATAGTTTAATCTTATTGAAAGTGCTGATGAAATGGTGAATGTCCCATTAAATTACAACAAATACAAAAATAAGCATTCTTCCGAACATGAATGTGCCATTTAAAGGCATTTTCCAGATCAGAATTACCTATCTCATCTAGGCATCATCTGACAAATTTAAAAATTTGTATAACACATCAAGTCATAAATTAGAACAATATATACAGCCTCAAAAAACTCAAGGCTTTACAGCGTTATTGAAATGATTGTTAACTAATTACAAGTTTTTTGTTTTTTAACCATAGATTTAAGTTAGATGTTTATTCTAAAGTAGTATGTCATATTAATGTGTGCTTTCATTCTCATCCTGATCAGCATGTTGCAGACTGCTGTTACCAGATGCCTCCAAGTGTCAACAACCTCAACCCCGCAGAGGATATCTTTAGGTGTCCTCTGTCGAGCAATGCCCTAAAGAGGTCAGATATTGAAAAGATCGCCGCTAAAAGGAATTCATTATATCCCAATAAAGAAGGCAATACTTTTAAATCCTCAAATCAGAAAAAATGTGTTAAAGAAACTTGTGATTTAATTATCCAAAGAAACAATGCTGGAGATGTGAGAGCCTGTCCAAATATTTGTGTGATAACTCCCCATGGGCAGGCATCATTTAAAAGCAGGCAGCATGGGATGGCGCTTGTCGATAATGGAGCTCTTCAAAATGAGGAAAACGTAAACGTCAGAAATGATTCTGGTTTCGGATCAGGTGGATTCTATATTTACAAACCTCAGTACGACTGCAACAATGAATTGGAGAAACTAGAAAGAAATTCAGAGGAGCTATCCATGTGTTATTTCTATTTTGGTGCCCTCAGTAGCACGGAGGCAAGAAATATTCTTCGCAAGATGCCCAACGGAACATTTCTGGTTCGAGATAGCTCAGACTCCAGATATCTGTATTCGCTGAGTCTGAAGACAGAGCGAGGTGCCACCAGTGTCAGAATTCTTTATAACAATGGTTTATTTCAGTTTGATAGCGATGAGAGGATTAGGGACAAGCTGCCCTGTTTTGAAAGTGTGTTGGCCCTTGTGGATTTTCATGTGATGATCTCACAGGATGGCAGTAATAAATCATGGCGGTGGGAGGAGAACTCTGGGAGGAAAAACATGACGGTGACGCTGAAGGAGCCTCTCAAGAGTGCTGTGCCTTCACTGGCTCATTTGTCACGGGTAAAAATTAATCACTGCTTAGAAGATGTATATTTGCCTCATTTGTCTGTAGATAAATTACCTTTAACTAACGAATTGAAGGAATATCTTAAAGTTTATCCGTACAGGGTATGACAATAATTTTAATTAGGAAATTATACAAGGGTAAATACATCGGAATCACATGTGTCATCAATGTCACTTGTTGTATCTGATCTTTCTAAAGTCCCAATTTCTTTAAGTGGTTTCCAAATCCCATTGAGATATTTTTACGCCCAAGCATTGGCTTTGTTTACATTTTTAAGAATAAATCTGAAAATACAGCAGAAGGTGCCCATGTGAAAACTGCAACTACCTTCCACATCACAATGGGTCTTTTGGTCTCTATTTAAAGTACTGTTGGCTGAAGTTTCACAATGCTCTTGAAATATGGTTCTTCCAATGGTCAGCGTGACCCAGGTTGGAACTGGTTTCAATAGCAAAATTTAAGGAAATGCCTTACATATGTGGATAATTTGCCGCTGCCTGCCCATCATGGCTGCCTGCCCATCATGGGTGTGGCGGGTGGTCAGTCCTTGACTGTCAGGTCCAATCTGGTGGCTGTTGCATAATGAACTGGGTGAGAAGTTTCTCCTGACTCGAGTCAATCACTAAGTTATAACTTTTTGATGGTTCTAGTTCAGCCAGTCTTCTGTATTCTCAAAATCATGACCACTAATGCTTATATAAAGCATTTCTCTACCTCAGGATGTACAGTTGTATGAGAGTGAGTGAAAGTTGGTGAGATTTTTTTTTTAAACTGGGGTTCATTCCTTGCTGGTTTTTGTTGAAAAACTTTTTTTTTGTAAAAACTGATAATATTCGGAAAACTCAAGAATAGATTTTCAGTTATGCCTCTAGGAAAAATGTAAAATAAATTTGTAACAGTCAAATACATTTTCCCTCATTATGTTTTATAAAGAAATTTCAATATACTTTTTTATTATTAAGTTATTTTTTTTTACTGCATGTTAAGCATTTTTTATTCACAAATTTATTATTGATTTCTTACATTTTTAATGCTTTTTTTTATTTTTAAAAATGTGATTTATTGAGGTGTGTAATGTTTACACAGATTTAGGGGTGACCTAGTTGTAAGTTTAATGTATTTCTGCATGCCTCAAGATGATATTTGTTTTACACCAGGCAAAATGTTCGTATAGCTTCCAAGCACTGCTTTAAACTTGTCAAATTTAATTGGGTTACACAACTTATATTTAGGTCACAAATTTCTTAAATGGGATGGGGGGGGGGGGGGGGGAATCTCGGTTTTAAAATATTGTTTAGCTTTAGCTGTCTAGCAGTGCATGGCTGGGTTTTTTTTTCTTGAGAAGACTGCCATGTGGTGTGGTTCCATGTGGTCTTGTAAGCAGATGAGGCCTTTAAGAAATAGATCAGAATGGAAGAGTACAGAAGTATCAAATGACAATTAATTTTTCTCTGGCTTATTTTTCATTGCACCATTTTGTTTTTTTGTTTGAAAATTTGAATTTCTCAATAGCTCTTATATATCTAACCCAGTCTATCTTTAAAAAGATAAAATTAGTCTCTTGAAGTTCTAGCATAAGGAATTTAGTTCTGTTATTATTTCCACCAATTGAATTGAATTATTTTAAAAGGAGAATAAGTAGAATGCTATATTTCAGTAGCTGTTCTCGTGGAGCATGCTACCTCTGAGGTTGTTGCTAATGCCTTTCATGGCAAAGACTTGCTTGAAAAGTATATTCAACAGTCATTGAATACTATCAAATTACTCTTTATGTGCTACCAGGAAGTTAGGTCTTTAAAAAAAAAAAAAGAATCTTTCTAGATTTAACACCAGCAGGAAACCCTGTGCAAATGAAATATTTATCTCTTATTTTATGTGAAAGGGCGAATGATTTTATGCTTCTGTGAAAATATTGTGGATTTTTCTAATTGTAAATAAATATTTATTATTATTATAGCTTAAAATTGCTCATCGGTTTTATTGCTAATTTAAATTATTTAAAATTTATTATTTTTTTTATTTAGTTAAAGATTGTAACCTTTAATCTACTCCATTACAATCCTTCGTTAAAGTTGAAATTAGAAGGAGATTTTTTCGGATTCAATAAAAAGGTTAACAAAAGGACCAAACAAATCTTTGATTTATCACAATCGTCAAATTCATGCTGTGTTCGGACTGAAGCACTCTAGCACTCACTCATTGAGAACAAAGAAATACCAGCCCAAACGATTGTTCGGTAAAAAAAAAATTTTCAACTAGAAGATTCTTTAGAATAGAATAGGAATGGATTCCTAGTGGGCTGCTAACCCTGACCTATAACTTACCATTCATTGGCCATAACTCTCCCACCCTGACAAATAATATCCCCTATTTATTGCAGCTTGTTCATTAATGCGGGACTGCTTGAATAATCTCTTAATTCTAAGTTAAATTTGTGATTCATTAAAAAGGATGTAAAAAAAAAAAATATATATATATATATAAAACGATTTAAAAAAAATAAATACACCCTATTGTTAATTTAAATATATCTAAGTTATTAAAAGGAAAAAAACAACAAAAAAAAAACTTCTATTGCGTTGATTTGTGAATATAAATGAATAAAACGAGAACTGAAAATTATTTTAAATATGAAAAGTTTTCATCACGTTCGAAGATTTATAAATAGCCATGATCAAATAACAGAAATGGGGTTAAACATCCTGTGATATCCTGTATTTAAATTTAAATTAGAATGAACTAATATTCGTCTGTCTAACTCATCAACAATGCATGAGCTGAAAAGTATGGGTCTGCAGCGCATAGTGCTAATCCTATCGGTGATTGAAAATAAAGGCATTTCTCAACCAACACTCCCTCTGACACTTTTGATCCTCTCCCACCCACCCTCACCCACACACACCCACCCACCACACTAAGGTATTAAGCCTCCCACTCACTATTGACCGGTTGGCAGGATGTATCCTCTGAATACAATATCAGCGCGCGCTGTATTTGTGTGTGTGTGTTTTTTTGTTTTTTTTTTTAAATTTAATGTCGTGTCCTTATAGGTGGGGGAGAAAGGGGGGGGGGCGAGCGTTTCCAAGAATTAATCTACTTCCTTGGTCAAGGTCATTCCAGCTTTGAGCCTAACGATAAAACGGAGATGAAAAAAAGATGAAATATCAGCGCGCGCTGTATTTGTGTGTGTGTGTTTTTTTGTTTTTTTTTTTAAATTTAATGTCGTGTCCTTATAGGTGGGGGAGAAAGGGGGGGGGGGCGAGCGTTTCCAAGAATTAATCTACTTCCTTGGTCAAGGTCATTCCAGCTTTGAGCCTAACGATAAAACTGAGATGAAAAATAGATGATGGGACCCGACAATTTTTTTGTTTTTATGTCAAATAGAACACGCCCAAAAAGATGTTGGGAGAGGGTGGGGTATCTCAAATACGATGATCTGGGGCGTGGGATGGGAGACTAGGGATGAAACCCTTTGCAGGAATAGTTTCATTTGTAGTGTGAGTTTAAAGATGGAATAGACATTTTTGTTTTGTTTTTTGAATGAGGACTTGATAAATGAAATAATGGAAAACAAATTATTCAACAGTCTAAACGTGACTGTTAGAGCAATTTAAGGTACAGCAATTTAAGGTAGGCCAACAGCAATTCAAGATACAGGACGGCAATTTCTCCAAACTGAAAGTGAGAGCCAGGTAATCGGGGTTACTTGGAGCTAATATTTTAAGATTTTTAAGCCAACTTCAACCTATTAAATTTCACCACTAGGTGAAATCCTAACCAAATGGTCACACTTTTTTATACAACACATTGTAATTCCCGCTGGCAAACTTCAAGCGTGATTTCGGTAGGTTGCTGTGATATCCGGGTTGTCCCCCGAGTAGGGTTGTCCGGTATTGCACCAGACAGTCCGGGAAAATAAAAACGATTACCGGAAGCAAAATATAATGCTATCCGACTCACCCCCAAGAAAAAAACCGCTTTGGGATAGCTGTCCGGTATTTTTGAAATTAAAAAAAACAAAAAAACACATTTTTTTTTTAATAAGTTATCTGGCAACCTCAACCCTAACTTATGGAAATAAACAAGCTTATTAAACAAATCATGAACAAAATGCTCTGTTCAAATGAACGGAAAAGGGTGTTACTGGATTGGGTTCATGTGAATCTTGCAAAGGGCGTGGAAAATATGCATTAGAAATGTTGAAAATCTAAATTGGAGATGCTATGCCAAAAAAAAAAAAAAATTTTTTTATAAAATGGCAATTATAAAAAATAATAAAAATAAGGAAAACTCTGTCTTACGTTTCTTGACATGAAGGACAACCCTGACTTGGGAATAGTGTTGAGATAGGTTATACTTTAGGCACGCGTGTAGTTAAGACAATGTTTTCACTTTCTGTTTTGTAGGCCTATCTAATTGTTGGCCTACACATATCCATGTGACGTGGCTCAGTTGACAGAAGTTACATTGAAGTTTCTACTGTGCGTCATTGGGGTTTGAACATCCCGTCTAGTTGATGTCAAACATCAAGATGGTGACGTGTTTGGTATGTGATAATAATAATAATAATAATTGTATTATTATTATTTCAATTGTTTTTACACGAATGCGCGTCAGCTGATGGCGACCGGAAAAAAAAATATTACGCAATAAATGAAGCGCGTTTGGTAGGTCTACTGAGTACAAATTAACGCTACCATCTTGTAGAAGCTATTTGTGAGTTAGGACAGTGTTTCCCAAGATGTGGGACGCGTACCCCGGGGGGGGGGGGGGGGGGGGCGCTGCCCCGGGCTTGGGTTGTTTTTTTTTTTTTTTTTTTTTTTTAAAGTAATTTCTTTTTTTNTGAGTACAAATTAACGCTACCATCTTGTAGAAGCTATTTGTGAGTTAGGACAGTGTTTCCCAAGATGTGGGACGCGTACCCCGGGGGGGGGGGGTACGCGCTGCACCAGGCTTTGGTTGATTTTTTTTTTTCATTTTTCTTTAAAGTACATGCATTTTTTTCAAACAAGGGTAACTCAGTGTTACGAAAATTGTAGTTTGGAGTACACAGATGTCAAAAGTTTGAGAAACACTGACTTAAGAGAACGGACAATTTTTATGTATAAAAATTTATTTATATTATCGACGAAACTAATATTATTTAATACTTTTTAAAACAAAAGAAGAGATGTAACAAATACATTTTGATTAGGTCTGAATATAAGGTGTTGAAATGTGTGGTTTTTTTTTTCTTTTTGGTTTTTTTAAAAATATGTTTATTTTATCGCTAGATAAAAATCTGTTAGTTCCATCGAAAGTTCTGTGACGATCAGAATCTTTTAAAAACCATAGCAGTCGACCATTCGTTAATGACAGAGTTCTTTTATATTGGTTTCATGTCAAAGAGTCGCTGCTGTCGCATCGGACCTTTTTATTTTTAAAATCCTTTTATCAGCACCTGACCGACTTCCATAAACGGATACGGGATTTCAGTTTCGCTTTCCTAGAAATGGCTTATTCCCAAGAAGACATTAAAAAGGGAAGAAGTAAAAAAAAAAAAAAAAAAAAAGAAAAAAAAAAAAAAAAAAAAAAAAAAAAAAAGAATGGCCAGGTACTCCCCAGAATCGAACGCTTAAGCGGCTTAATCCTGCTCTGAACATTTATTACATGTTCTTAAATTTTAAAACCTTTAATAATAGCAAGTGCAGTGTGAACATTTTCGACAGGACTCCTGTTTTATGTGCATATAAATTCAGGATCAATATATTTAAAAAAATATTTTTTTAGAAAAATATGTTTTTAAAATATGTCTATATCAATCTGTAGGCTATAGGCCTATCAGTGAACAAAAGCCAACGAAATCTAATAACATTATCAGTATTCTGAGACGTAGAGTCACTAGTGATAACTGTCAACAGACGGGGTCATTGAGTGTTCAGACACTTTGCTGTAGAATATCAAGAATCTCTGTGGAAAATGTTCGAAATGTGTTGAGGCTGTTCAGGACTTGCAACGATGGCTGTTTTAAAAAAAAAAAATATATATATATTTAGCTGTTTATAATTATATCTAGCTGTTTATCAACTAACTTCGCATGGCCGGTAAAGGAATTAATTTAAATTTCCCTTATAAAAAAAACAAAACATTCCGATTAAACTGTTGCTTGTGGTAGGTCACACACACACAAAATTATGAAAAATAAATAAATAAATCCTTAAACTTAATTTTCCCTCCGCTCTTGTGACGTTTCATGCGAGGGGCATTTTTTAA